CCAACCTTAGAAAAATTGTACAAGGAGGTCATGCTTCCCATTTAAAGGTGAAAAACATGAGTCTTAGGGAAGCTAAGGAACTTGCCTAAGATTTATGTGACTAATGACTTTATTAGACAGATATGGTGACATGCCTACGCATATGACACCTTCTTCCTCGATTAGCAATTCTAAGTCTTTTATCTTCCAACAGCAGCAATAATTTTGTTCTATATTTAGGTGAAACTGCCTCTAATGTGATTTTAACAAAATGCCAATTTTACCAGGACTTTATTGTGAAAGTATGATGATTTTAGGTATTTAGGAATTAGTCTAGATTTTAGGTATTTAGGAATTACTTTTATAAAGTAATTTCATGCAACTTTCAGAGGCAGGAGGACTACAAACGAGTTAATTAGCTATATTTAGGAATATCAAGAAAAACACATTTAGTGTTCAAATAATGAAATGATAATTACACATTTTATGCATGTATTAAAATATCACACTATACTCCATAAATGTATACAATTTTTTTTTGCATGTCTGTGGTGCTAATGATTGAACCCAGAACCTCACAAAGCAAAGCTTTTCACTAACACAGCTATGCCCCTAGCCTGTACAATTGTTAAGTCAAATAAAAATTTAAAAATATATTTTCAAAAAGACAATGAGATAAAGGTAGAAAGAAAAACTTCAATTTTTGACAGTAACTGAAAACATTTTTTAAAAAAGAAAAAGACCAAGTTCCAGCATCTCTAGTAGTACTAAATACCTGGAAGGACCAGTCACTGTCTTAAATGCCTTATGCACATCCCTCAGTGAACCCTCCAGCATCCCTGGGACGTACACACTGTTATCATCAGCTCAATGTAACATAAGAAACATGAGGCAGGGAGAGGGTAAGCAAGATGCTCAGTGATGTGAGTAGTAAATGGCAGGTATTGGACGTTAGCTCCTGAGCTCCCTTAATTATTTCACTCAGGTGCCTGTCTAGCAGCTCCACCTCCTGAGCATCTCATAAGAGAGGAAAAAGAACATTAGGCAAAAAGCTCCCTGTAGAGATGTCCCTGACACTGCACTGCTACTTTCCTTCCTTTCAACTGACCTATGACCTTCTATTAAAATTAAAGACAAATACAATATGAACTATGAGAAGCTGCTCACGGCCAATCATGAAATTTAGCAGAGCCCCTTCTCTCCCCAGATTTGGGAGAAAATCTCAAAAGGGCCCCGCCCCAGCCCAGCCCATGAGTGAAGAAAGACACGAGAATTATCCCCGTGGTAATGTCTGTAGGAATGAGAGTACACAGCCACCCTCAGGTCAGTCAGGGGTAAAAACTGAACTTTTTTTCATTACTTTAAATTGAGAATAAGAAAGAATATAAAATAGAAAATGTGACTTTTTAAAAGAGAAAGGAAAGGCCTCAGGGATAGACAGGGGCCTGTTTTGTACCCCATCAAGTTCTTCATGTGAGCAAGTATGTACCGTGCCTACCCTGAAGCCTGAAGAAGCACTGATAGGAGCTGTGTGTAGTTACAAAGCTCTAGACGTGTAAAGGCAGCACGTCCTTTTTCACTTGGCTTAATCTTCCCTTCCACCAGGCCCACCTATATTGAACAATATGAAGAAAACCATGTGAAGCTGATGGAGACCATGATTTTAAAAATGCACTTCCACTGCAAACTAAAACACTGAGGTTCCATCTTAATCCAGAAAGAAGGGCTGTTATCAAGAAATCAAATGAAAACAAATGCTGGAGAGGCTGAGGGAGAAAAGGAACCCTTCTACATTGTTAGTGGAAATGTAAACTAGTACAACCATTGCGAGAATTAGTATGGAGAGTCCACAAAAAAACTAACGATGGAAGTTTTACCCATATTTATAGCAGCACAACTCACAAAAGCTAAATCCTGGAAGCGGCCTATATGTCCATCAAGAGATGAATGGATAAAGGAAGTGTGTTATTTATAAACAATGGAGTACTACTCTGCCAAAAAGAGACATAAATTCGAATCATCTGTAGGAAAATAAATGTGTACTGAGACCATAATATTAAGTGAAATACATCGGAAACACAAGCTAAGATATTGCTTGATTTCTCTTATGTGAAAAACCCAAAGTATAAATAAATTAAAAATCAAAATATAAGACAGTGAGAGGAAAAAAGAGAGAGAGTTCTTTCACAAAAGAAAAGGGGACCGGGGCTGGGGATTTAGCTCAGTGGCACAGTGCCTGCCTGGCAAGTACAAGGTCATGAGTTCGATTCCCGGTATGGGAAAAAAAAAAAAAAAGAAAAAAAGAAAAGAAAAGAAAAGAAAAGCGGACCAAGACATAGACAGTGGGGAGAGGAAGAGGAGGGGACGGGACAACAGAAGAATTATGTGGGGTTATACACACATACCAGCTCCCCACAAGGAATGTAGGCACGGTGTGCTGCAAACATGTGCTGCACTGCTAATAAAAGTGCACTTCCCATCAGCAAAGCACATGGAAACTGTTTTACTTCAGTTTTGTATTTATGTGATGATGGAGAGAGAAAGTAGATATATTCAGTGACAGGAAAGACATCCTATTTCTTCACTTTTTCCCCCAAGGACAACACAACAATAAAATTAGAATTATTTATTCAGTTTAAGCAGAAATCTGGGTTATAATGAGCCTTGACAAAAAGCCGTGTTCAACAAGAAGGATAAGCTCTACTTCTGTCACACCTCATTCTTTCTGCCAATTTGTATTTCTTTTTTTTTTTTTTTGCGGTACCAGAGATCGAACTCACGACCTTGCACTTGCCAGGCAGGCGTTTATGCCACTGAGCTATATCCCCAGCCCCTGCTGATTTGTATTTTACTGAAGGTTCCACTCAGGGACCATGAAAGTCCCCTGTAACTCCACTGTGTGTTGCACAAGGTCTGGCACATAGTAGGAGCCTAGCAAATATGCTAAGTAATGCTCCATCACAGTGTGTTTGCATGAATCATGAGACTGGTGACGCCGTATCAGAAAGCGCATTCAACACAGACAAAGGGGAAAGCTCTCCCCTTCCGATGTGTGTAATATTAATGGTTGTAGATATCGGTAGGTCGAGAGAAGGAAAGGTTGAAGCAGTTGAGAGACAAGAAAAATGATAAAAGGAAGTTTCCTTTTATTTTGTTAAGCCCTAAGCAAAACACTAAATTATAGACCAAAGTGTTCTCAGATCTCTAACGTAAGACAAGCTTGAGCACATTTCAGAGAAAGAAGTATCCAAACACTTTATAAGCATGTGGCATCATTTACTTATAAAGGGAAACAGCTACTTCACTTTATAAATACACATCATGTATAAAGAGAGAGAATAAGGGCCCAGTTTTCCAAAACTCTGCCCATGTCGCCCCTGAGTCCTCTGATCTGTCTGCCATGCTTCTACTTTCCCTTCTCTATCCAGTCAGATTGTATTTTTATTCCATATTTTGTCTTCCTGAATAAACATATACATATTAGTCTGGTAACTATAAAGTCTAGTATTGATTCAGTGAATCTAAACAGGTTAATTCAGGCAAACGCCCCAAGTAGGTACAAGCAGAAAAAGATGTTATGTGGTCTTTATACATTATGTAACATTATAAAGTCCTTCCGCAAGAGCATAAGGGAAACTAAATTGCATGTTGAAAATGAATTCTCTAGTCAGGGTGTATCATCAGAGTTTTAAAAGTCTGATAGAACCTAAACTTTACTGCAGAAGTTGTAACTTGCAAACCATGTTTCTTCCTTTGTTTTTTGTATATCCTGTGGCTCCAAAAGCTCACTTTGATCATAGTAAAACGCAGCTTTTCCTCTTGGTTGTGATCGGTCCCCACATCTAGAAACTGGAATGTGATCCTCCTTCTGGTTTGTACATATGGATATCGTACCAGGAGTGAAACATTTAATTATATTGAGATTAAAGGGGAGTGCTATATGCAACAAAATCGTGGAAAGTCAGAGCTAGGAAGTTTCTGAGAGATCATCAAGTCCAGTCCTCCTTTCCATTTCTGGAACTAGAAGAACAAAGACAGGTTGAGCCTTGCCTTCTGCCCTAGAGTGTGCATTCTGTAAGAAGCCTATTCTGAAATGCCCTGTCTCAGCCAGGTCTGATTACTCAAGCTCGCGGACTGGTAGTAAAAGAGGTTCCTCTGTATATTTTACTGCACCTCACAGGCATTATTCATTTGGAAACCTTGGAGATAAAAGTCAAATCGACTTACCCCTAGACTGAATTGGCTTTGGAGGTGGCAGAAGCAAGGGACTGGGCGAGCGGTCTCTGGTAACTAGAATTGCAAGCAACTCATGGCAACCAAAAGCCAGGTCACTGTCACAGAACCGTGAAGCAGAGGGTGCAGATGTCTACGGTGAGTTCTCCAGCACCTCAGCTGAGCAGAGTGATCTGCCCCTGTGCTTAGTGCTGGGCCCACACCTGCGCAGGGGACCGACTCCCCTCTCAGGAACCGTCCTGCCAAAATCCTGCTCCCCACCTGATGCTGAGCCTTGTCATAGGCAAATGGTGCTGAAAACAGAATTTTGGCTCCTTTTCTCATGAGAAAACCCTACCAGAAAAAGAAGGAAAAGTGTATCAGCTTATCAAAGGCTGTGTGATCTGCTTTGCAGAATCCCTAATTCCTTAGAGGTCCACCAAACAGCAGAGCCATTTTTGCACTTGAGAAGGACACAGGAACTCACACACACAGTGACCCGCAGAGTCACACAGACCGTAACACCAAGCCTCTCTCCTCTGGTTTGACGTCTACCACTCAGTGGAATTATTTCAGGCTTATCAAAGGCCCTACACAGTAAAAATATCTTAGATTGCTAAAAAATGAAGAAATTGCTATCTAATAGATTAAAAATCAGAGCCCTTAAAGAACAAGATAAAATGGGTTTTTGCGGGTATACAAAGAGGTTTGGAAGCACTGTTTTCAAACCAAAAGACTCTTCAAAAATTTTCTAAGAGAAAGCCCCTCCCCTAGTCTAGCTCTCCCCTAGTTCCGTGATAATAACTCACTGGGCAGGGCAGGGAGGTCTTCCTGTAATTGGCATCTTGTGGTCGGTGGCGTTCCCGGAGTCCTCTCTCCTCCTCTCGCCAGCTGTGGCCCCAGAAGCTGCTCATCCATTTGGCAAAAGACACATCATCATCGTCATCATCATCTTTGTGCTCCATGCAAAGGTGACTCCAAATACTGACAGTCCGTCCCTAAACCTGGCAGAAAAACCAACCAGCGGTGAAGCCCAGAACGCTCGCAAAAGACTAAATGAAACTGATACTTTTAAATGGCCTCTGTGGATGGCATCCTTAAAGCAGAAAGATTTACTAAACAACAGCTTCATCATCAGGCAGCCTTGGGCAATGTCTATTTATAAACTGTGCAGCCCACACTCCCCTCCCCCTTGTCTTTTTAAATTGAGAGGCTTTGTAATCCTCTCCTTGCTGGGACTGGCGCCTCAGAGCCTAAAGGCAGGAAGCACAGTCCACTGCCCGCATTTTCCTGAGCCGTGCCGCCAGTGGCCTGGGATGGCATCTCCAGCTGTCAGTTATGATGGAGCATGACCCTCATAAACATGCCTGTCAGCTAGCTCCAGGCTAGCAGTGAGATGGGCCACCGAAAGGGAAAGACTGCTGCTTGCAAGGTGGCCAGCTGTTGAAATGTCAAATCTAAACACTCTCCTAAAAAATCAAATTGATATTGACAGAAAATCCAGCTCTAGGTCAAAGTGAGCAGTTTTTATCAAAGTATTACTTATACGCATAGAAATACAAACAACGTATTTGTAAATGTAGAATGCACAAAACTTAAATAATTTCATGAATTTGTACACACATACACCCCTCTATCACCCTCCACTGTGTAGATGAAGACACAGCATTCCAAGTTCATCCTATCCACCTTTCAATCCCTTCAAAAGATCACTTTTTGGGCTGGGAATTTAGCTCAGCGGCAAAGTGCCTGCCTGGCAAGCGCAAGGTCGTGAGTTCGGTTCCTGGAACCAGAGAAAAACCAAAAAAAAAAAAAATCACTTTTTCTGACCCTGTGCCCTTAGATTGTTACCTGACTTGAACTTTCTTACAGTTTTATTTGTATAGCACCCAATATTATGAGATTTATATGCAGATTTAGATAGTAACACTAGTTCATCCTAATATATATATTATATATATATATATAATTATCCTATAATATTTAAAAATCTTGTATGTGGTCACTTTATAATTTTTAAAATTTAAAATCACTTTATAATTTTTAAAAATCTTGTGCATGGGCTATTATTTTGGGTTATTTACAGTTGGGGCTATTATTTTTTAAAAGCATCTATGAATTTATAGTTCCTGTCCTTATTCACTGTCTTCAAGGTAAAGAGAATATGATTTTTATGAGGTCTGTACTTTGTGTCAACTAGGGAACCAGGAATTTTATAAATGCTATTTTTATTATAACAACCCTATGACTAGGAGATTTTATTTTATTTTATTGATGAGGAAGTTGAGATTCAAACACACCATCACCTGCCCAAGATGAAATTACTGAGTATCAGTGCCTGCTTTGAAGTAAAGCTGTTTAAACCTTACTGCCAGTGTTCAAAGAGACCTTTGGGACATCCTGTATTTTCAAACAGGGAGAGTTTTGGTTATCTGAATATGAAAACCCTTCCAAGAGAGAAAAAAGAAATGACAGAGCTGAGTGCCACTATTCCTAGAGCACGGTACAATTTACACGTTGTAAGGAAAAGTAACCTGTTATGGTTGATACACTGTGTCAGCTTGAGGGGTCTAGCGGTTTGGCTAAGTGACTCAGCAGTTCTACATCGCGGGATGAGAAGGACACGCCCTTACCTCTAGGATGTCGTTCACTGTGTCAACTTGAGAAGTTTAGGTTAGCTAAGCGACTCAGCAGAAGCCCGGGTCCGTCCTTTGTACTCATCGTGAGCCTATGCAGGAGGAGGGCCTGGAGATGGTGTGAGTGTAAATGACCCCCTCCCAGGGTGGGTAGGCTGCATACAACAAAGGGGAAATGAGGACGGACTGACTGCTGGTTCTTCAGAGGAGCTTCGCCTTCAGCTTAGTCATGGTCTCCAGGCTTTTGGTGCAGACTGCTTGGCTTCCACCTGGGGCTCTTCAGCCTTCGGGTGTAGACTCTTCAGCCTTCTCTGTAGATTCCTCAGCATCCCTCTAGACCCATCAGCCTCCTGATGCAGACTTGCACGGACACTGCAGTGAGCTCCAGGCCTGGGACTGGATCCATCGGTCTCCAGTGCGCACACACCCTCTGCACGCTTCCTCATCCAACTCTGTGGCTGACCACTGTAAGCCGAACTTGTAACTCCTTATACATTTGTATATCTTGTGTTATATGTTTCTCTAGTAAGCCTTGACTGATACATAACCAAGGCATGAGATGGCTTATTTTCTTTTTTTTCCTTTAGCAAAAAATGCATGCTTGCTATAATATTTTTGTTAGCTATTGGAGAAAAGCCCCTTCTCAATGACTCAGCAAAAGTTACAAGTACGGCATCGCTGCTGATTGTCTCCATTACTTAAAAAAGATTATCAGATAACTTTTCTCGGGGAAGTCGTACCAGGTTTGTCCAAAAAACTTAACTATGGTTGTTGGTTCAGGCTGCTGAATAAAAATACCATGGACTGAGTGGATTAACAGTTTTGTATTTCTCGTAGTTCTGGAGCGGGGGAAGACCAAGATTAAAGAGCCAGAAGAATCAGTGTCTAGTGAGGACTTTCTTCTCCTCTTGTAGACAGTTGCCTTCTCACCACAGCCTCGTATGTCCAAGAGAGAAATTACTGCTCTTGTGTTTCTTCCTATAAGGACTCTGTGTGAGGGTTCTCCAGAGAAACAGACTCTAATATACGGACTGCCTTTGGACAATTCTTCTACAATTAAGGACTCAATTGAACTGTTTGAGCTGGACAAAGAATGCTCAGTCAGGAGAGTTCAAACACACACACACACACACACACACACACCACAGGGAATGGAATGAATGAGTGAATGAGAGAAATGAATAGATCAACACAGCTGGGGAATTTGGAAAGCCCTAAGACCTGCTATCTGTAAATTGGAGAATGAAGAGCTCGTGGTATAATTTAGTCTGTGTCCAAAGGCAAGAGAGCCAATGGTATAAACCCAAGTCTACAGGCAAGAGAAAATGAGATGAACTGTCCCAGCTCCAGCAATGACACACAAAAAGAACGAATCACTCCCTCCTCTACTTTGCTCTGTAAAAGCACTTACAGGCTAGATCATGCCCATCCATACTGGGGAGAGCAAGCCACCTTACTGAGCCCACCAGTGTCGATGTTCAATGTGCACCACATCAACAGCTTCACAGGCACATCCGGGAGTAACAGTTACTCACGGCCAATCAAGGCGACACGTAAACAATCATCATGAGTACTAATTCACTCAGGAGAACCCTATCTCATGTGTATTTGCTATTGAAAGTTGAAGTGAGGAGACAGCATGGCATGGGGAGCGTGTCTCCATCCACTCCTGACAGATATGACTCTTGACTCCTCAGAAGTCTCCCAAGTACTTATGCTGTTTTCCAAGTGCTTATGCTGTTTTCCAGATTATGTGAAGTTTGCAAGTGAGCTGACACCCTGATTGCTTTGCTCACCCTTCCTCTTAACTATAGAATTTGGTTCTTAATTGCAGTTGTCCCAGGACTGTAGCCACAGCTCAGCACTAGAGAGCACTTACCATCCTACAGTATGCATGAGGCCCTGGCTTGGTGCATCTGTCCCCAGACAGAAGTTGATCTTTTATAGACTGTTTTCTGAATAAATGACCAGGACAAAAGGGATGGAAGTTATCTAAGCACAATATAGGCAGTTATGGAAATTCAGGATTTTGTCATAACCGATTCTTGAACATGGTATGTTTTTCTGGTGAAGACACATAAAAAATATTTTTCTGTATAAATTTGTATAACCCTTCCAGATAAAAAATTCAGATGAGAATAAAAACAATAAGGAAAAATATAAAGTGATGATTTCTAAATAAAATACACTGACTTTACAGTAACACTGAAAATCCAAAAACCCAGCACCTGGGAGGATGGAGGTGGAAAAGGACATTCATGATGTGTTTTTCATTACTGATCTTGAATAGCAAAATGCTGTGAGGTCTTGAATTTAAATTGTTAGCTAAACCAATGATCACAGCTAGCAGTGCTGACCATGAGACAGAGGGCACAGCCCCAGCTCCAACACCTACCAAGAGCACTTCCAGATATTGTCCATACTCAAGGCATCAAATAAAATGATGCCACAGAGAAGCAAGACTAATGGAAACTGGTTGCCTTTGAAGAGTCTGTCTAAAGTGAAAGAATAACTGAATTGTTTGAGGACATGGAGCCCTGCAGCAAGAGGCTCCACAGTAGAAAAGCACGTTGAGGCCCTGTTAACCTCCATGCCTAAACAACGTGTGTCCTCATTGAGATGACTTAGTTGAAAACTCTGTATTTCTTGCTGTGTACCAAGACTATCACGACTACTTTGAAAGGCACACCAGTCAGCTTCAATTTGCTAATCAGAATTATATTGTATCTGACTTGATGCCTGAGTCAACTTAAAAGAAGTTAGTATAAAAACTTAATAAGAATCTCAGGCTAAGACGGACATTTACAGTTACTGCAGTAGGATTTTTTAAACTGAATAAATCCAAGACCCCTGAATTTCAAATGAAGTCAGTACTGCTGGTTCCATCCTGCAACTTGGGATCCTACTGATAATAATTTTACAATAAGATGCTTTGGCCAAGGGATGGACTACACACACACACACACACACACACACACTGTAATGGGTATGAAACTGCCTATATTTAGAAAGGACTGATATCAAGGTTGGCCCTTTGCTGGTATCTAGGAACTCATGGTAAAAAGTTCTTGCAGTAATACAAAACATTCCTTAAATTTTATAAGAGTGACCTAAACTATTTAAATAACCAATGTGGTTTACATTGTATTTGTTGATTTTTTTCAGCACTTTGACAAAATACCTAAAATAAATGTAGGAAAGATTCATTTTGGCTTACAGTTTCAAAGGCTTAAGTCCATGACAGGTTGGTTCTATTTTTGCACTGTGGAAAGGCACAGCATCCATGGAGAGAAGCATGTGGTTAACTAAAGCTGCTTACGACCCTGCAGCCAGAAAGGAGGGAGAGGAAAAGGGAAGGAGAGGGAGAGGGAGGTGGCGGGAGAGGGAGAGGGAGAGGCCAAAAGCTCAGTATTTCCCCCAAGGGTACGCTCCAATGACCTAACCAGCTTCCATTAGGCTCCACCCACTAAAAGTTCCACTATTTCCCAACAGCGCTGCAGGCTG